ACAGTTCCAGTGTTACCCTGGGTGTTGATTTCCCGGTCTGGTCTACCTGGCAGGGATGGTGTTGGAGCTGTGATTTTCAGGGTCCCGTTTCTCTCCCCACCCCCCACCACCCTCCTTAGTGTCAACACTCTGTTTCGCTTCCCCAGGGAACCGGGATCAGTCCGCGGCTGTGCTCCATGCGAGCCAGGTCCAGCTGGCAAGGTTGAAGCGACGCCTGGCAGGACCTGGCGCCCTGAATGAGACGCTGGGCATCTTGGTACAGGAAGCTGAGCAGCAGAGGGCATCCCTGGAGGCCTTTGAACAAGATCTAGAAGAGATCCAGAGCGACCAGAAGAATCTAGAAGCCATTCTTCAGAGCTTGCCCAGCGGCTGTTAAGAGCTGAAAGGGAGACCGGCGACACCTGCAGAATTGTGTAGATTGAAGACTGGCAGTGGGGGAATCAATATAGACCCTTTTTAATAATAATTTTTTAAAAAGGAAACGTTCCCAGAATGCAATGGTCAAAGGAGGCAGACTGAGACATCTTTGTCAGGGACAGAGAATAATAGCTCGGGAAAACTATCTTAGCTGCCGGACCAACCTTAAGAATCAAACCCCGAAATGGAGACAGTGCAGCCATGAGGACGAGAAACCTGAAACAGCCATTTTACAAGTCTTGGGGAAATGAGCATTGTGCTTTTTTTGGTCCAAGGAGTTTTGGACCCTGGTCGGGGGGTGGGGAAACGATGATTCTATGATATTGGCAGAGATTTGAACCCTGATGCAGAAAAAAATGAAAGTTGGATGCCAGGATCGGGAGTAAATCGAGTGCAGGGATGTAGAATTTGGGAGTAAAATCCAGTGCAATGTGACATTTGTTTGCGACCCTTTCCAGTTCCTCAGAAGTTTGAGAAATGTTTAGAGAGAAATCCTCATTTAAGGCAAGCTTTAAAAACAAACCAAAGCCGTCGCTTAGCTGTGCAATTGACTAGACCAACACGGTGGTGAAATTGACCGCACCCAGGTTGTGAAATTGACTTTGTGAAATTGGCCCGTCCACGATGGTGAAACTGGACAAGAACCGTGTCTGGGAAATCGGCATCCGAGCAGAAGATCCAAAATTTGATATTTTCCCATCCCTCGTCCTGAAAAATACCACCTTCGCCAACCAAGACCCAAACCTGTGATGTTCTTGGATGCAAACTGCGGAAGGTTTCTCTCTCCCTGTTGAACGTTGGCCCGGCAAATCATCCTCGTATTCAGCGATCTGGAATCCATTAGCTTGCTGACACAAAAAGTGATTTCAGCTTCAGAGAGGGAAACTCTGCAGTTACATTCACCCATATAATCAGGAAAGCTTTATTCCGAATTTTTAAGAATGCAGGATTTTGTACTGTACAGCTGTATGTGTTAATATATCTCTTTTCTTGACCCCAGCTTTTCCATCCTGCTTTAAAACGGCAACGCGATCTTATAGCTGATGATGTGAATGTTTACAAATATATTTTTTTTTTTTCCTCCCCAGCCTGGGCAGGAAACTCTGGGATTGTATTCATTAAGGATCAGCAAATGGGATGCTAAATCCTACACCCAGGATGGATTATCCCCTTTACATCCTCGTTCCCTGCATGCATAAATCGATCGATTTACATTTTAAATATTTAAATGAGGCCTTTGGTGAAGCTCCCGTCACCTCGAAAGAACGAGAGGGAAATTGCTCAGCGAGAATACCAAGTGGCTCAAATTAATAGACACCACCAGCCCTTTAAGAGTCATTTCAGGCTGAGTTAATCACCCCGTGTTTAGCTGTGAGCCATGATAGGGTTGGGTTGGCACGATGTGGTAATCCCTAAACTATGATTTATAGGCTCCAGTGGGCGTCCTGACACGAACAAGACCAAAAAGAGAAATTTATAGCTTTGCGGGCAATGACTTAACCAACACAATCGAGGCCCAGATTTCTGCTGTTAAGCAAGACAGTTGTTAAGTGGGTTTACAACCTTTCTTGCCACCGTTGTTAAGTGAATCTCGCTTCCCCTTTGACTTTGCTTGTCAGAAGGTCGCAAAAGGGGACCTCGGGACCCCCCTGGGAAACTGCGACTGTCGTAAATATGAATCAGTGCCTGAACTTTCATCACGTGACCAGGGGGGGTTGCTGCAGTGGCCGTTAAGTGTGAAAAACGGTCATTTCCAGTATCGTCGTGACTTCGAACGGTCAATAAATGAACCATTGTAAGTTGAGGACTACTTAAAAGTAGCGATCAACTCTTTCGATATCACAGAACTACAGCTCCTATCATTCTCTACCCACTCCTGAGCTGGCAGGGGCTCCTGGGAGTTGTAGTCCAGGAAGCATCTTCTGCAGAGCTTTTTCCTCAAAATTGCAACCCCAGGATGTCCGTTTTTCAATCCAGAAAGATCCAGAAAAGGGACATCCAGACAGCTATTTAATAAATTGTGTGAGCTGCTCTGCTGCTGCTTTTATTTATTAAATTGTTTTTTTTCTATTGAAGAAGAAACGACTGAATTAAAAACATGTAAAGCAGAACGGAAGAAAAAAAAAAGGAAGATGAACAGATTGAGAAAAGAATGAAAGGAGGAAAAGAAAAGGAAAAAAAAAGAATTAGAGAAAGAATTAGCTTTCCACCATTTGCTTGTAAACACATTTAAATTTTATCTTCTCTTTCTGAGGCTGCCCTGTAGCTAAACTGCGTGAGCTTTTTATACTGGGAAGAAAAATGTGCATTGTTGTTGTTGTTGTTGTCTTCCTTTGTAGAGAGGAAAGGACGTATTTTATCTGAATTCTTTCCTTCCCTATCTTTTTAAGTCCTGCCAATGCAAGCGTTAAAGAACAGTGTTGAAGAAAACAACCAACCCGTTGTTATTCCACCTTGAAAGGGAGGGGAAAAAATTGAGATAATCAAGAGAGCAGATTCCAACACTGAGAGCAGATTCCCCCAAGGACATTACTAAACCTCTAGAATCCTTGCGCAAACATCCCTCGGCCCTGGGAAATCTCGGTTTATCTTCTCACCAGAGTTTGAAACCTGACATGGGAGAACAGAAGATCTGGGAAGAAAACAAAAAATAATAACAATGCCACGACAATGGTTGTTAGTGTGAAAAGCGGACACAAGTTTCTCTCTTCAGCGCTGTTGCAACTTCGAACGGCCACTAAGTGAAGCCCAGGGCTACCTGCAATCCAGGGGTTGTCTGGGCAGGACCATGTAGAGTGGCGTAACCGCTTTCCATGATGGTTAATGCTTTTGTCTCCAAGGGGCAGTGTTTGGGCAGCTGCAATAAAGCAAAGGTATTAGGCTGACGGTCGAAAAAGGGGGTGAAACACTAGACCCTAAACCTAACCCTGGTTTGGCCCCTGGGTTTGTAGGGGACCCCTGTGATGGGCAGGGTGGAGGAGACCCTGGGCTGCTCTCTGTGTCCTGGGCCAAGTTGACAAACCTCTCCAGGAATGTTGTGGATAATAAGTGCTTTGGGCCTTTCAGGAGGTGATTCAGGTTCTTGGCTCAACCAAGTTGGGTGGAGGTCCCTGGGAAGGGCCTGTTTGATCCATGCCTGTTTGGCTGCATTTCTGAACCAAATGCATAGACATATATATATTTTTTCTCTCCCAGGAAATTTGAAAGCAGAATAGAGCAGGGATAAACTTTCTTTCTTTCTTTTTTTCTCTCTCTCTCTCCTTTCCTTTTATCTGTCTTTCTTTGTCTATCTTTCCGTCTTGATGTGCACTGAAGATGGTGTTTGATTTCATTGTACGAGGTGAAATGACAATAAAGTAAACTAAACTTTCTGTCCTTTCTTCTCTCTTTTCCTCTCTCATTCTTTCTCCATCAATTTCTAATTTTTCTTCTTCCTTTCTTCTATCTGTCTCATCTTTTTTCCTTCCTTTCCACCCTCTCTTTCTATATTCCTTCCTTTTATTTTTTCCTTCCTTCTCTCAGCTCTCTTCCCTTCCTTCCTTCCATGCATCCCTTCCTTCCTTCCTTCCTTCCCTCCTTCCTTCCTTCCTTCCTTCCTCCCTTCCTTTCCAAGGTTCTTTCCAGCTTTATTCTCCTTCCTCACTCCCTTCCTTCCTTCCTTCCTTCCTTCCTTCCTTCCTTCCTTCCTTCCTTCCTTCCCAAGGTCCTTTCCAACTCCTTCCTTCCTTCCTTCCTTCCTTCGTTCCTTCGTTCCTTCCTTCCTTCCATCCATCCATCCATCTGCCTCCACGCCTCAGAAACACAGCCGGGGAATTTCTCATCAAGTGTTGTGTGACCAAGCTCTCTCTTAGGGAGTTGTGTGAACCGGGGTCACCACACAAGAAGGTGTTGGTGGGGGAGAAATAAGGAGAGGGGGGTTTCCTCACCACACCATATCGGAAAGCAGCTGCCCTTCCTCAACCCCTTCGGTTCAGCCTGAGCCTATTTTGTGAACACACAACCACCCAAACTGAACCTGTGCATTGTAGAACTTCCAAAAATTATTATTATTTTTTTAAATTTCAGTCAAGTCAGAGAGCGGGCAGCCCGGGACAAAGGAAAGTTAGCAGCATGACAAAGTTGGAAGGGATCTTGGAGGTCTTCTAGTCCAACCCCCTCCTCAAGCAAGAGACCCAACCCCATTCCAGACAAATAACTGTCCAGTCCCTTCTTAAAAACCTCCAGTGATGGAGCACCCACAACTTCTGGAGAGAAGCCCTTCCACTGATTAATTATTGTCACTGTCAGAAAAAAAACTCTCTTTAATTCTAGCTTTAAGCTTATGGGCCCCTTGGGGGGTGGGAACCCTTGTCTTGTGTTAACCCAACTTCCAGCTGGTTTATCTATTGTGTTTGACTGCAGCCTCCCTGAAGGCAAGCCTCCTAATTATTATTATAACCCTTGAAGTACCTCTGCCAGTGCCCGGAGCAACGCATTCATCATGGCACAACCGAGGAAGGGGTTAACTTGCCAGCTTGCTTTGCAACTGGTGGAGGGGGAGGGAGGCCGTGGGGGCGCTTGAGCCCTTGCAAAGCCTTCCTCCACTCAGCCCGGGCTTGTGAATGGCTTCATTGAAGAGAAATGGGCTGGCTTAGGTGCACAAAAGTCCTACTCCCTCTTTGCTTGGCGGTGGCAGCAACGGCCGCCGGGAGAAAACCAGCACAGCAAAAGGGCTAGGGGAGAGCTTCCAGCCCCCACCCTCTAAGACCCAGCCACCAGCATCCCACCATGTCTGTGATGGTCAACAATGCCCACCAAGGTACGTGGGGTTTCGTTCGGGGAAGGCTCCCTGCCTGGCTGTGGGTTGGTAGCGTTGGAGAACTCCAGAAAAGTGCAGCGGTTGCTTTCCAGACGCACAAACTTGCTTGTTGTGAATGCAGAGGGGGGGGGTCTTTTTAATTCCCCTGGGGGCACAGTTTCAACCCCCCCCCTCCTTTTTTGAAGACTAAAATATGAATGGGCTTTGCTATTTGCTTCTGCCTCCTTTTTTTCCTTTAAGGCTGCGACTTTGAGAAGGGAAATCTCAAGAAAATATATTCTCTTTTCTCTCTCTCTCCCCACGGGATGTCATCTTTGGGGTTGAAAGGGACCAAGGGAAGGCTCCCCATGTGAGATAAGGGGGGGAAAATACTTGATCCATTGAGCTGATAAAGAAACGCTATCCAAGCAAAATATTCCAGCTTTGCTTCTTCTCTCCATGATTTTTTTCTTCTTCTTCTCAACTTTTCCTGCAGGGGGGAAAGCCTTCCGTTTGCTGAAAGCTGAACAAGAAGGGAGGTTAGAAGAAATCAACAAAGTAAGTGGAACAGTTGGTTCTCTCCAACTCTGTCCTCTCTTTCTCTCTTGTCCAGTCGAGCCCACATTCACACAACCTGAATTAAACCCGGTCGGCAACAAACAGTGGCAAATCTAAGAGCGCAATTTCTGGCAGCTTTCTCCATCCGGGTTCTGCCTTCCTCTGCCTGGCAAAATTCGCTTTGAGGTTTAACCCAGTGAAAGAGAACCAACTGGTTAGTAACCAGGATAGGAAGAAAACCAGCTTAGTTGACGGGTGTCTGGATTTTGATCGCGTGACCATGTCAGGGATGCTGCAACAGTAATAAGTGTGAAAAATGGTCATATAAAATCACTTTTTTGGGGCTGTTTTAACTTTGACCAGCATTTAAACAGATTTTTTGCCAAGTTGAGCCTAGCTTTTGGTGGCTAAATGGACAAAGGATCTGGTTTGATTTCTCCCTGCTGATAACTCACAGAAAATAAGGATCAATTTATTTTCCAAAGCACCTTCAGAAGGTAAGACAAGAAACAATGGGTGGAAACTCATCAAGGAGGGAAGCAACCTGGAATTAAGGAGAAACTTCCTAAGAGGGAGGACAATCAACCAGTGGAACAGCTTGCCACAAGAAGTTGTGGGTGCTCCATCACTGGAGGTTTTTAAGAAGAGACTGGATAGTCACTTATCTGAAATGGTATAAGGTCTCCTGTTTGAGTAGGGGGTTGGACTAGAAGACCTCTAAGGTCCCTTCCAGCTCTACTCTATCCTAGCTCTTTCAAGGACCTTCCTGCCTATTCAACCCATCCCTTACCTTCCCCATTTTCAGACCTCATCCTTGCCAACTATGGTATTATCTAGTTAATTTGTCATCCACTCACATTCCTCTGCCCAAAGTCTGCTCCATGATCCAGGAAACATCCAAGTGTTTTTGTTCAGCCTTTTTTTCCCCCTCTCATTATTATTTTTTAACTCCGTGCTTTCCTCGCTGTCTCCAAAGGATCAACTATCAGGGCATGTGGTGAATTGCCAAGAAGAGAACACGGAGGATGGGGGAACACGCAACCTCAGGAGGGAAACTCCAAAATTATGTTAGGAAGTTTGATTTCATATAGAAAGAAGAATGGAAGCTTGGAACCAAATTCCAGCTGAGGTTGTAGATCAGATTTAAGCATCCTTGGGATAAACGCTTGTCCATCATCCGACCAAAATGTAAAAAATGGAAATAAAAATAAATAAAATACTGTCTCTCTGTCTTCTCTCATTTCTCTCCCTCCCTCCCTTTCTCTCTCTTCCTGTCATTTATCTTTGTCTCATCTCTTTCTCTCTTTCTGTCTCATCTCTCTCTTGTTCTCTCTCTATCATCTATCATCTCTCTCCTTTCTCTCTCTCTCTGTCATTTTTGTCTGTTATCTCTTTGTCTCATCTCTTTCTCTCTCTATCATCTTTCTATCATCTCTTTCTCTCTCTCTCTCTCTCTCTCTCTCTCCTTTCTCTTTTGCCCCAATGGTTGAAGGTTCATTTTGCACTTGTGGTATATAAAGCTGTCTGTTGTCTTGGTGGAAAGCTTTGGATGTGGGTTTGGCCACAGAGGCGTGAAGAAATGTGGAGGCTGGCAATCAGATTTTGTGGCATTCAAGAAACCAGCCAGATCTGCACTTTTTGATCCCTTCCTATGTTTCAGAATGGATCACCCAGAGTAAAAGGCTCTGATTGTCCCTTGGCAGCTTCAGTTTTTCACTAGAGAATGTGCTGGCTCTTAAAAAGAAACGCGTGGCTCTTGTTGATGCAATCTAAACAGATTTCCAAACAGCCCTCTGGCTTGAACTGATGATTTGTGCAAGCCAAGGCTTTCCCTGTGTGGTATCAGCCAGCAAAAAATGGGAAAACCTGCTTGAGAAGTTTCAGGGCATAACTTCCAGGAGTTGCTACCCTTCCTGCTCAAAGGGTGTGTGTTTTGTGTGGTTGTTTTTTTTTTTTAAATCTTAAAAATAAATCCCTTTGGGGTATGGTAGGGAGTTATGAAAATATGTCTCTCTGGATTCTCAAATGGATTATTATTATTTTTTGCCTTTTGCCAAAGATAAGATATAGAAAACTAGCTGGGTTTTAGAATGAGGAGAGGGTGCTTAAAGAAATTGGAGCGTGCCAGCAAAAGCTCTGTGGCTTCTGTCAGGATTATAGGTAGTCCTCAACATACTGGAACCTCTGAAGTTGGGCGGTCAATAAATGAACGCAGAATAATGGAAGGGACCTTGGAGGTCTTCTAGTCTAACCCCCTGCTTTCACAGGAGACTCTATCCCATTCCAGACAAATGGATATCTAGACTCTTCTTTAAAACCTCCAGTGATGGAGCACCCACAATTTCTGGTGGCAAGCTGTTCCACTGATGAATTGTTCTCACTGTTAGGAAATTTCTCCTTAATTCTAGGTTGGGTCTCTCCTTGATTAGTTTCCACCCTTTGCTTCTTGTCCTGCCCTCAGGTGCTTTGTAGCACAAGAGAAGGAGGATTGTGGGGTGCTTGGTGCTCTCTGAGCTTGGCTGTTTTCTTGAAGATGTCATCACTAAGCACTGACGATGTTACTTAGTTTGGTAATGAAACGTCTGCAACAAAACAGCCAAGCTCCCCTGTTTTGGCCAGAGGGTTGGACTAGAAGACCTCCAAGGTCCCTTCCAGCCCGGTGCTTCTATAAGTAGAGGATTATCTGCATTCCATTTGTCTGAATTGACTTTCCTTATTATGCCACGGAGTCTAGTGTGGCTTTGCTGACACAATTGTTCACTATCTCTGCTCAAGGCACTGCAATCTCTACTTCAAGATAACTTTGTGGAAAATGGACCTCAGTCTTAATTTAGGGACTGTTGACCTTTTTCTCTACTTTTAATGATGTGTTTTCTTTCTGGCAGTTTCTTTCCTTTTTTTTTTTTAACAGAATGGCCCAATTTTTTCAAAAACAAACAAAAAACCCTGCAACACTCAACAAGATATTTTCATTGTTCAGTGTAAAGTGTTTAAATTTGGCTTCCCCAAAGTCTGGGTATGCTGGTAGTTCTCGGTTTATGAGCACAATTGGGCACAAAATTTCTGTAAACACACAGCCTACCAAGGGTACACATAAGGGACGTCTCTGGAAGATTTGATTGTTGCTTAAATCCATTGATTGTCTCCTTTTTAAATCCTTTTTTTCTCTGTTTCAGGAGTTTCTCTGTGACCCAAAGTTTAGCGATGAAGAAGACCTGGAAGAAAAGCTTGCAGTTTTTAAAGGTACTAGTCCACATTGCGTGAACCAAATGTAGAAAAACATTTTCCTTTGGGTTAGGGCTGGAAGCATTGCAATTGTCCAGAGGATGGAGAAGGAAACAATCCAACATGACAATCCGCAATGTTATTACTTTGGATAGATCCATGCCTCTTAAAGGATGCTGGCCAGGGAATTCTGGGAATTGAATTCTCATATCTGGGAAATACCCTGGACCAAATTTCAGTTACCTGGAGAATGAGAGTCCATCTAAGCCAAGGAGATAGGAAATCTTTCAGTTGTCCCCCGCTGTGGATAGAAAACAGTTCTTCATCTCACTTTTAGGGAGATTGGTGAGAATTTATTTTCTTTTTACCAGTCAAAATTACTTCCCAAAATTACTTCCATTCACCCTCCTCTTTTTCTTCCCCTCTTCTTTTTAAGTGAAATGGAGCACAAGTCCTATTGTGGTCTCCTGCAGCTTGAAGTTCTCCAGATGTTTGGGGCCACCACTTCCCTGGCTCCAAATCCAGCACATCTGGAAGGGATTTTGCATCCCACCAGTAGCCAGGTTTCGTGGCCAAATCCGGCCTGAGGAACTGGCAAATGGTGGCTAGCTTTTTCAGCTGGGAAGTGGGATTATTTGTTAAGAATGTGTCTTTGGCTACAAGATCAGGGTGTGGCTGAGGACTGGGAATATTAATATTTGCCAGTACAACAGATGTGAATGGAACCTCTGGGTTTTTAAACATGTTTGACCTCCTTTGAGATTGCATTAGACTACACCCTACATTAGATGGTTTCACAAGAACAACTGAATTATCAAGTAACCAACCAGCCTTGGTTTTGCAAAACATACTCAAACCAGGAAAAGCAAACAAGATTGAAGTTGATCAGCAGTGGATCTGCAAGTAATCCTTGACTTTAGCAACTGTCCGAGGTTACCGAGGTGCTGAAAAATGCGACTGACAATCAGCCTTCACACTTACAACTGTTGCAACATTCCCCCACCCTCATGTGTTAAAAAATTCTGCCTCTGAAGGAATGGAGACTCGAAGTTGTGAAATGAAATTCGTGCTTGCTGCAAAGACCTACGAAAATTCAGCCTTGTGCCCCAAGCTGCAATGTGCAAAAAGACGATCTCTTTATTTGCTGCCTGGAGAGGATTAAGTGGCACGGTTGTGTCGGTTGTGAGCACACATGCAAAGCATACACCCTTTTTTTTTTCTCTCTCTCTCTTTCCAAATCTTTGCTCCTGTGCACTTCTGGCCGGCAAATCCAGCATTTTCCTGACCAAAGACTTTCCTCTTTTGGACCTGACCAACAATCAAGCTTTTGTTTCGATGTCTTTTCTCCCACCGGACACAAAGTGCACAGAAACACACATACACACAATGCACCCTGCAAACTTGGAATTTGTATCCTTCCCCACCTCCCTTAATGAGAATGTGTACATGCAGGATCTCCAAGGCTTTTTTCAAACCTTCTGTGGCTCAAAGCAGATGGGAGAAGCCAGGGCGGTTTTCTGTTTTTTTTTTTAAAAAAAGCATTTTGTCTCCTTGTTTTTCCACGAATTCACTGGGAACAAATTCTGGGAAGCGTTGAGTAGCAACGGTACAGAGGAATTTGAACCTTCAACTCATTTGTGCAACTTGTTAAGCCAGGAAGAGCAATGAGGCAAGGATTAACATAACCAAGTGTTCAGCAGGTTGTTGGAAAGTGTTTAAATCATCCCGTTTAAGCCTGTTTTATGGATGGATCTGAGGCAGTTTTAGGATAGGACCACATATCAAAGAAAGGCATGTTACTGTGCAGCGTAAAACTCTGGTAAACAAACAATAAGTGAACAGAATTTTGGGTTTTGTACTTTGCCTTACTCCTTCCTTCCTTCCTTCCTTCCTCCCATGCTCATCTTTCTTTTCTCCTTCCTTTTCCCCATCCCATTTTTTCTTCTTCTTTCTTCTTTGGTTGCCCTCTCTTCCTCCTTCCCTCACTTAATTATTTAATTCTTTCATTTACTTCTGCCTTTACTTTTCCTCTTTCCTCTCCTTCCTCCTTTTCATTTTGTGCTTTCTCCCCTCTCCTTCCTCCTTTCCCCCTTCTCCTCTCTCCACTCTTTCTTTTCTCTCTCTCTCTCTCTCTCTCTGGCTTTCTCTTCTTTCTCTCTCTCCCCGTCCTTCCTGCTTCTTCCATTTCTTTTCTTCTTGTAATAGCAATCACCCAGCCTGATCTCCCAGGAGGAAACAGCCGTATTTAAAGTCTCCTTTTTCTCTGAAAAGAGAACTTGGAAACCAGCAGAAAACAAGCATCAAAGTAAAGCTGCACTGAATAAAATAAAATAGCCAGCAGGAACAGGAAACGAGTCAAGGGGCATTTTCCAGCATCTTGGCACAGGGATAGTCCTTCAGATCTTTCAAAACAGGGAAGTACGTGTTGCAAAACAAAAAGGAGGCTGAAAAATAAAGAGAGAGAAATCCAGAATATTTTCCCTGCTGCTGACTAAATTAAGCTGGATAGCGTTTATTTACAAGTGAACATGAAACGGATCAGATCTTTTCCCTTATCTCCTTTTTTTTGCCTTGTTTTAACTCAAAAGCTTACAAGAAAAAGAAAAAAGAGAGAGGGAATCCTTTCTTGTGGAGGTTTGCCATCTCAAAGTCACAGCCTCAAGGGAAGAAAAGAGGAGGCCTACCCATCCTTTTCTCCAAAACAATTATAATAATGGCTCCAATATGTATACCTGGCATACTAGCTTTGACTTCAGAAGTTATGGCTTCTCCATCACTGGAGGCTTTTAAGAAGACACTGGACAGCCATTTGTCCGGAATGGGGTAGGGTCTCCTGCTTGAGCAGGGGGTTAGACTAGAAGACCTCCAAGGTCCCTTCCGACTCTGCTATTCTACCTTGGCGTGTTCTAAGAGGGCTGAGTTTGGATGGTGCTAACCTTTGCTTCTCTTTTCTAGAAAAATACATGGAGTTCGACTTGAATAATCATGGCGAGATCGGTGAGCTCCTCCTCTGGCCAAGTTGACCCCACTTGAAAAGAACAAATCAGTTTGGTTTGTTTTGTTTTCTGCATGATAGAGGGGAGTCCTCAAATTACGACTCTTAAACGACCGTTCACAGACGGCAGCTTATTAAACAAGCCCCCTTACAACTGGTCCTCGCCCTTAAAACATCCCTGGGGTGGGGTCACGGGACTCCGTGTTGTGTTTTATGTTATTTTTATTATTTTAATTTAAAATGTACAGTCCGCCCATCTTACCTCAGGGTCATTCTGGGCAGCTTACAAAATGTTCTATGACAGTTTTGCCAGAGGGAGGGGGAAAAAATGGCATTTAAGTTTCAACGTTCCGCAAAGCCGCACACCCTCGCGAACCGTGGCTTCGCTTAATGACCGTGGTGCTCCTTGGACGACCCGCCTCCAGGGAAGCCCCAACACCGTGACTGGCCCCTTTTAAGACCTCCACGACTTGCGCTCCACTGTGGTTGTAAGTCGAGGAACTGCCTGTACAGCAGGCAAGGGACGTAGGCGCCTCTTCTCTGGGGTTCGGTTAGCGTCGCCCTCCGCAAGGCCTTTAGCGTCCTCTCTCCGTCTGTCGTTCCTCGCAGATCTCATGTCCGTGAAAAGGATGATGGAGAAGCTGGGGACTCCCAAGACCCACCTGGAGCTGAAGAAAATGATCTCCGAAGTCACCAGGGGCATCAGCGAAACCATCTCGTACCAGGATTTTGTGACCCTGATGCTGGGCAAGCGGTCAGCCGTCCTCAAGCTGTGAGTATCCGCAAAAGGAGCAAACAATGGGGTACTTGCAACAGTAACAGATAAAGTTAACAGATGATCTAGAGTTGGAAGGGACCTTGTAGGTCATCTAGTCCAACCCCCTGCCCAAGTAGGAGACCCTACACCATTTCTGGTAGGTGGGAGTCCAGATGGTGAATATGAGCAACTGGCAGTGGCTCATTTAGTGACTGTTCAAAGCTGCAGCGGCACCAGGGGTGGGGAGAAAGTGACCTACAGCCGTGGGATCGAAAGGCAGACTGCTTGGCAGCTGACTCGTATTCATGACGGCCTGGGATTTCCCCTTTTCTAACGTTCTGACAAGCAAAGTCAAGTGAGGAAGCCGGGTTTATTTAAACAAAGGTGTTGCTAACTTAACAGCTGCATTGATTCACTTAACAACCAAGTGGCAAACAAGTTAGTAAAATAGGGGCGTGCTTGTGGTCATAAGTCAGGGGCTTCCTTTAAACAGAGGCTGGATTCTCTCTTGGACCCCTTTAGTGCTCCATTTACTAGCCTTTTAAGTTCTTGTTGGTTTATTTAAAAGCAATGGCCACCAAACTTCAGAGAACTCCATCCACAGAGAGAGGAGTTTCTCGCCCATCACTCCAGCTAAGGCCAAAAGCTATTTTGCTAAAGATTTAAAAATCTAAAATGCAAGAGGAACAAGAATGGCAGGAACAAACTATCCATTGTCTTTCAATCCCCGTCTCGGTTTCCATTCCTGTTCCAAGTTTTGAATCCTGGACGGGGAACAATGACTCTGAACTCTGCGTGGGCACAAGGGATTTGGCTCCCATTATGATCAAAGCTTTCCAATTCTCCTCCCTTCTTCTTCCCCTTCTCTTTGCCCTCCGGCTTACGTCCTCCCTCCATGTCCGACCCAGGCCATGCACACCCCAAGATTCGCCAGAGGAAGACCCGTCGGTTGTGATGTTGGAAGAACTTATAACTGGGGTGGGGTTAGAGGCAGCCAACTAGGGAGGTGAGAGGGAGCAGTCTAGCCATTCTCAGCGGAGAAAAGTTGGAGAGGTTGGGTATCTACAGGGCATCCCAGATGAGTAAGCGACAGGTGAACATCGGTTCTTCTCAAAGAGGTAGACCATAGAGTGTTAGGGCTGAAACGGATCTTGGAGGTCTTCCCAGAATTCCCCAGTGAGCATGCTTCTTAAGATGGACGGTCTTCAGAACTCCCCATCATGCTGGCCTGTCGAACATGCTGGCTGGGGGATTCTGGGTGTTGAAGTCCATATAATCTACAAATGACCAAGGTTGCTCTAGAGATGAAAGGAAGGTCATTTCTGATAATATCCCATTCATTCTTCTCTCCTTTTCGGTCCTCTCCTCTTAGGGTCATGATGTTTGAAGGCAAGAGTCAAGAAAGCACCCCCAAACTTTCAGGCCCTCCTCCGGAGAGAGAACTCTCGAGTCTTCCTTAAAGGGAGAGGAGAATACGGAACATTTTCCACCTCTGACCATCACAAGATCTCTGCCCCGTTGCTTTTAAACCAGCCCGTTTTAAAGACGACGTCTGAAGGAATGGCGAAGAAAAGTCCACCAGACATCATCCAGAAGACCATCTAAATCACCCCTCATTTTTAGTCTCAACCGTAACCCGAATAGCAAGCCCCATTGTTCTCAAGAACAGCAGAAAACTCTAAATGCAAAATCCAGATTTCATGGAGCGTTTTTCAAACAGACAAAACGCTCTCCTTTTTTCTCCCAAATCTGAAACGATTCAGATTTTCTTTACGACCACTTCTGTTCCAAACAGAAACTACTTTTTTCTGAAAATGGCTTTGCGTACAGGCCGAAGAAGAGCTGACCGCTCTGATCCAAGGGAGAAAAGAAATTCAGATGGTTTAGTCGAGTCATATCTTTTAAGGAGCATAACAGCCAGAATTTCGCATCAGGCAGCGTGTTATTTTTTTTTTACCAAACGTGATGAAGCAAAGCAAAAAGGGAAAACCAGAGACGTTTCATCCTGAATTCAGAACCCGTCCTAAGCCAGATGGAGCAGGCTTGAGTGACATCATGGTTAGTTCTAGAGTTGGAGATCTACACATGAAAAAAATCCCATTTTTGCTACAACCACCACAAAAGTGTCTTCTCAGAGCTGCTTTTCTGATTTCTGAGGGATTATTTTTTTTCTTTCTTCTGTCGTCCTGTAAAATGCAAACGTTTTCGTGATGCTTGGTTTTCTAATCTTGGTTTCTTTGTTCAAGCCAATTTCCTTGATCAGACCAATGTGTCTTCCCCTTCTCGGTACAGGTAATCCTCAACTTACAACCATTTGTTTAGTGACCATTTAAAAGTTACAAGGGCAATGAATAAAGCCAGTCTTCACACTTACGACCGTCGTAGCAATCCCACGGTTGTGTGATCAAAATTCATTAGCAACTGGCATGTATTTATGATGGCTTCACGTGATCGTTGTTCCCAGCTGGCTTCCAACAAGCAAAGTCGATGGGTTAGGGTTAGGGTTAGGAAGCGGGATTCTCTTAATGACCACACAACTCACTTAACAACTGCAGTGATTTACTGAACAACCGTGGCAAAAAAAAAAGTCGTAAAATCGGACGTGGCTCACTTAGCAACCAACTCGATTAAAATTCTGGTTTCAATTGTGATTGTAAGTTGAGGACTACCTGTATGTGAGTTGTGGAATAAGAAAGATTTGGCTGTGGAATTGGATTTGATCCTCTTGAGGTGTTCTTTTTTAGCGTCTGAGTTCACGAGGATCAGTTCTCCGTTGACTTGAATTCGATCAAGTTTCTTTCGTTTTCTTGGTATCAATACAAAATAATTTGCCATTTACTTCTATTGTTTTTCTTTTTTCTTTTCAACTTCCCAGTCTAACCATTCAGCCTTGAGGTCTCTTGGTCATCTCCCATTCAAATGCTAACCAGCTTCAACCCTGCTTAGCTTTCCAAGGTCCACCAAAGATGGCGAGAGGCGCCCCCTGCTGACGTTCAACCCAAATGAACCAATATAGTTAGACTCACATTAAATAATTCATATTCTGGCTTCTGATGTGTATGTGTGTGTGTGTGTGTGTGTGTGTGTGTGTGTGTGTGTGCGCACACACACACACACACACACACACACACATATATATCATGGACACCAATGAAAAATACCCTGTGCGTAAGAGGATTCGTGCCACATGCTAAACTCGGGATCATGGCTCTATCCACACGACATTTGGTTACGGGCATGGTGACCTCTCCCAGTGCACCATAGACCCATAAGTGTATTTCAGCATAATGTGTTGTGTGAACCCTGGGGAGGTGTGTTATTTCAGCTGTGGAAACCCACCTTTGTTGTTCATAGACCTTCCTGACTGTATTGACAAGGGTTGTACTACCTCACCTTTGCTTTGACACTCCCTGGAGTCATACATTGCACAAAGCCACACAACTATTATTTGGGTTTAGCTTCCTGGTTTGTGTGAACCCAGGAGGCTGCAAATCGAGGCTTAGAACTCAGTGTGCCAGGTCAATCTACCCAATGGTGGTTTATTCAGCCAGCGGTGGTTAATCAAGTCTTGACTTTGAAACATGGGCAAAACTAAGCGGCATGGGCTATGAGGAACATTTGTCTTCTGGGATGTCTTCAAAGTCAGCTATTGAGGAGTGTCCAGAAGGTTTTGAGATATGGCTGAAAATACAACAACAGCAATGAACTTCAAGCTACCACCTCTAGTAGCATAATTCTTATGGCATACATGGATCTGGAATTCAAGGGCTTCCGTTGACTTGCTCATACAAGGAGAAATTGCATCCAGTTCTGGTCACCACAATATAAAAAAAAGATGTTGAGATTCCAGAAAGTGTGTGGAAAAGAGCAACAGGAATGGTTAAGGGGCTGCATGCTAAAACATAGAAAGAATGAATACAGGAATTGAGTTTGTATAGTCTAGTGAAGAGAAGAACCAGGGGTGACATGATAGCAGTCTTCCAGTATTTGAGGGGCTCCTACAAAGATGAGGGTGTCAAGCTATTCTCCAAAGCACCAAAAGGCAAATGAGAAATTGTAAATACACGCCTGCTGCCAAATCCCCACATTTTGATCCCATGATCCTAGGAACGCTGTGACATTCATAAAAACAAACACAAAAACACCCACGCGCACATTGACTTGTTGATTTTTATACACACAAACATAAAGAGGGAGAGAGGGAGACACAGAGCAATTGATATTTCATTTTTATCTATAAACACTTGACTCTTATTAAGATTATAATTCATGTTACAGACGGGCTCGTGGACACTTTCATTTTTAACATTCTCACTCGTATTTTATTTGGTTTTTTTATTTTATTTTATTTACTATTTTGGTTCGTTGCACTGTCAGCCAGATGTTTTGACTGGATTTAGCATTTGTATCTACTTCCCAAGGACCTGGGATAGGCATTGCAGGATGTAAGACATTCCAAGCAAAGCTGCCTTTTGCAATTGACCAGCAGGAGTTTTGTCAATGCCAGTGGTGTTCAAGGGATGCTGCCGTTGTTTTTGGGATTGCACACAAGGCTCCTATGACTACTGGCATATCTCTGCTTCCTTTTGCCAGTCGTCCTGTTTCTCTCTGAGGTCTTTCTATTTGATGATCTTCTCCCATTCTTCCTCTTCTATTCTGATACCTCCAGGTACTACCCTTTCCACTATCTAGACTGTCTGATGTGTTGTGTAGCAGGTGGCTGTTTGAATTCTAAGGACCCAGAGCATTTTAACTTATTTTATTTTTATTATGTTTATCTCTATTATTTTCTTTTTCACACACAGCCAGTGTACGTTCATATAGAAACACACCAACTCACTGACATCTATTTTTTTCAAAAAAAAAAAAAAAAATCCTGCTCCTTGCAAATATATATATATATATTTGGGTGTGTAGCAATAACCAATTGCATACAGATATTGGGGATCTGCAGGTAAGCCTCAGTTCAGCCTATGCGCCCAATTGTGGGGGGGGAGTGCCTCTCCTTGACTGGATTCCCATAGCCCCCAACCCCCCAAAAAATCACCCCACAATCATATAGTGGCTGCCTTCCCACGACTAATTTTAAAAATAAGTCCAGCAGACACAAGACTGTTGTGCAAATGCAGCCTCTGGATGGAGAAATGCAAGCAGCAACCCTGACTGGGTTAATCCTTTGGGGAAGAGATCTTTCTTCTTGCAAAGAGATCCCTTCTTTTGTAAAATCCTTTTTCAGAAGATGCTGAGATATTTAGATGCTGTCTAAAAGGGACATATAATCCCGGAAGTCGAAGAGTCTGCATGACTCTAATGTTCCCGCCTCTATGTCCTGATGCTTTTGTTTTCATCTCCTTAGCACCAGCCATAGAGTTGACCGACCGGAAGAGGGAGGGAAGATACCGGAAGAACGTCATTTTTTTCCTTCCCTCCCGACGGAACAGAACGTCCGGGACTCCCAGGCGGGCTAGGACCAGCGGCGGAGGCGGCATTGGCCGCATCTCTCATTTTCCATCCTTTTTTCTCTCGCAACTGCCCTTCAGCTCCTTTCCTTTTTGGGGGGGGGGGGGGGGGCAGGTGTCAAACTTAAACCTAGAGCGTCGCCGGAAGCGGAAGCGCCCGCGCGTCCGTCCGGTTTCTCCTTCCCCTCCGTTGAAAAAAGCGGGGGATGTGATAACGGGCGGCGCGTGTCCGGGCTGCCGGCGGTGGCGGCGGCGAGATGGGCGACGATATGGACGTGATCCCCGAGCGGGAGATGAAGGTGAGGCCGGGCTTCGAAGGCCGAAGGGGGCCGGACTAGGGGCGGGGGGCAGAAAGAGACGGAGGAGGGTTTTTAGTGCCCCCCCTCCCCCAATTTCCTCCTTCCGGGTTCATGACCCCCCTTTTGGGGGCTCCTTTGATGAGTCTGGGGAGGGGGAGTCGCCCCCCTCCTCCTCTCCCCCCTCCCTTGTCCCTTTGCAGCCTTTCTTCCTGCACAACAACCCCGCCAGGTAGGCCAGGCAGGATAAGCATCTCATCTCATGTCATTATTATTATATTGTATTATGTTAGTGTTATATTAGAATTATTATATTATATTATATTTTTATTATACTGCATTTTATTATGTTGTTATAATTATATCATATTTTATTATAATTATACTGTATTATATTAGATATATATGTTATACTGTGTTGTGTATTATGTTATATATATTATATTATACTGTATTAGATTATGTACATTATATTTATTATATGTTATTATATTAAATTACATTAATATTTTACATATTATGTTCTCAACTATGCTTTTTGTTACTTTATTTTACTTTATTTAATTTTAATGTATTGTTTAGTAAGTTTGTGTGATGCTCCTCTTGCTGTCCAAAGTGGCTTTAAGGAGCTTTCCAAGTTGGAAAGGTCCACTATGGGGTGTTTGGAGAGACCCTGTCCTTCCTCGTCCCTACCTGATTAAAAATAAAACAAAGGAATTATCCTGATTTGGGTAACTTAAACGTTTTCCAAGCCAAGACGCTGGATTTACGGCTTCCCCCACCCCACTGTCAAAAGAAATGTCCTGACTTTGGTTACCTAAAGCAAATAAACCGACTTTTTTAACAGTTAGAACGTAGAACCATAGGGCTGGTAGGGATTCCATTCTCATTCAGCTCAGCAACTGCAGAATAATAGGGTTGGAAGGGACCTTGAAGGTCTTCTAGTCCAACCCCCTGCTCAAGCAGGATACCATTCCGGACAAAGGCCTGTGCAGTCTTTTAGAAGCCTCCAGTGATGGAGCACCCTTAACTTCTGGAGGCAAGGAGTTCCACTGGTTAATTGTCCTCACTGTCAAGAAATTTCTCCTTAGTTCAAGGTTGGATCTCTCCTTGATTAGTTTCCATTGGTTGCTTCTCGTCCTGCCTTCTGGGGCTTTAAAGACCTTCTTTGTGGCAGCCCCTCAAATATTGGAAGGCTGCTATCATCCCCTTTGTCCTTTTCTTCATTAGACTAAAATGAAATTTCTAGTATATATACATTTCATTAGACGGAGTTAAAAGTTTGGATTTGGTTCTTTTTTTTTTTCCCCCTTCAGGGATGTCATGTAATGTTTCTCTTTTTGGTAAAGCTTCTAATCTGTTGTTTTTTTCCTGGCAGGATTTTCAATTCCGGGCCCTGAAGAAAATCCGGATCTTCGAAGCCCCCGAGGATTTGCCCAAAGAACGTGGCAACCTGCTAGTG